GGAGCTTATGATGTACTACTGCAGCTATTTAAACCCCTACTTGAATGCTGGTTTAAATATGGAAAGGCAAGTGAGAAATTAGCAGCAGTTTTGCCAATGTGATTCCAGTTTGCCCTGTTCACCCCAGACACCCTGATGTGCACTCGCCCTTTTAAAGGGGAACAGAATGAAATATAACCAAAAAGAGAAATCTTGACTTATGAGAACATTCAACTAATTAAAAAACAACCACTTTATCTACAGAACTTATGCAAGTAAGGTTTTTACAGTCCTTATGAAGCAAGTGAATGCATCTACTAGTTTTGATTAAGACCAGAATTAACCTTTTCCTTTTAAAGTTTGAAGCACTGTTTTTAATGCCATAAGTAATTATTTCTCAATATTTCAAATAGTTTATTTGTGCTTTAAAATTTGTTTTGTGTTCCAAAATATTTTGTCACAGGTCTGTTACTGCAAGGCTACTGAGTCTTTAATGTAATAAGCACTGAGGTAAAAATCATGTCAGTAAGCAGCCTTTGAGAGCCATTTTGTGAAAAATTAGGTTCATCTGGTTGTTCAAGGAGGGCAAAATAGATGAAGCTATTCAGTAATGCTATATGCATGTTCTCCCTGTGCATGCATGGGTTCTCTCCGGGGACTCCGTCTTCATCTCACAGTCCAAAAAACATGACTGTCAGGTTATCTAGCACCTCTAAATTCTCTTTAGGTGTGAATGTATGCATATGTGGTTGTTTGTCCTGTCTGTCTGTGTTCCCCTGCGATGGACTGGCGACCTGTCCAAGGTGTACCCCACCTCTCGCCTAAAATTATGGATACATATAATCTCATTTAGAGTGAGACATTTCTCTTTCAAAGTTAAGTTCTTGACTTATGGTCTGAAGGTTGCAAGTTGGAACCAACTTTTACTTCTCATTGCACCCCGATGTTCCTGGTGAGGTAATGAACCAGAAATGAGCAAATTCTTAATAAGATTCTGATGTATCCATACATTCATTAATTTATCCTATCATCTTCTGTCATTTGCCTGTGTGAACCTGCAGTGAGGATGTCAGAGCTCTGTCAGTGAAACAGACATTCCTCTCCTCAGGGACACAAGATCACATGGATCACAAGGTATTCTAATGTGCCCATGGTGTACTCTATGTGTACTTGAAAGATTGATTTTCTTCTCCTTTATTCCAATTTCCCAATTGGAATAAAATGATCTGGAATAGTGACAGGAAAATTTGGAAGTCTTCAAGCAGCCCAGCATTTAGCATCTATCATGACTGCAGTGCATGTAATGCAGCCATCCAGTGTCTCTTTCCGACACAAGACTGAATTGCTGTGGAGAAAAAATCAGACAGTGTTGAGTTCAGTTACACTCTCCAGCTGATTTAGGGGGTCCAAAGGCACACCACACTCTGAGGAGATACAGAGTCCCTCCGATCAGATGTGTGAACTTCTAATACCAGAAAAAAAAAGAAAAAAGAAAAAAAAAGACTAGAAAGTTAAATGCTGCATAAACACTGTACAAGGCAAATCAGAGCGTACTAAGTGGAAGTAGTAGTGAGTAGAGTCCTCCAGCATACTGCAGAGATCACTCAGAATAACATAAGTTAGTCTAACCATAATCTTTATCAGAAGGTAAAGTTTTAGGCTTGGCCTGAATGTGTCCTTTAAAAATAAAAGCTTGATGAAGATGACAAATGAAAGCATGTGTATAAAATCAGTAAACATATTGTTCATTTCACCAGTGGTGTTCAGAGGCCTGGTGGCCTCATCAGCTTTACTATGGTCGAGCTGCACCAGGACAGCTGGGGTTACATTTGAATGCAGATCCTGGGAACTTCAGTCTTCACATCACACTGACTGCTGTTATGTTTTATAGATGTTGTTCATTGCTTTTAAATGAACTGGATTCTCTCCTCTGCCTCACTTTAACTTTATAAGAACTTTATGATACATGAAATGAGAGAACTTTAAAAGGCATTCAGAGCTCACTGGTAATTGGACGGCTTTTATCAGCCATCCTGGCCACTAAAACTGTTTTATAATTTTACTCTATGTGCTAAATCGTGTCTCAATGTTATACTCGTCTCAGGATAACAAACATATCAAGTGAAATCTTATTTTTAATCTTGCTCTGAGAGAGTGCCATATGATGAATGACTAAATAGTGTGATTGGGATCAAACATGGCCATTGTCTGGTTATTTCATAACCTGAGCACCTGACTGCAGTGTGGTGATTCAGCCTAGACAGTTCAGAGCATGAGTCAAACTGAGACGGTGCCTGTTGCCAAGCAGGGAACATGACATAGCATTTGATGCTAAAATTATTAGTATCATTGTTTTTTTTAACCTGTTTGTTTCTGATTGCATAGCAACATTTTATCTGAAACACAAAAGCAAGTCAGAGCTATTCTGATAATGAATGAATTGTCAGTATTGTTCAGTGGGCTAATTTAATACTATGTAATACAAAAGAAAATGTATAATTTTTAATCTGGAAATGGTGAAAGATATGAAATAATTATGAATACAGTTATTTCCCAGCAATATTTAAAATACAGCACATTGTTGGTATGGGTTGTAATAAAGTGGGAAGAAGCTGCCCTGCAGTAGAAAATAAAAGTCTCTTAACTTTATCTGCTTGATGTATTAGCAAAAGCAATCCTGCAGCTGTAAAACATCACAACAAACAAAAGCTGAAAAAATGCAACACCTCAGGGGTTTAATAAATGCAGAGCTTTGGGAAATGTGAAAGAAATTAATGATTGACAAATCTAAGATTAAAATAAAGCTGAAATATTTTAGCACTGTTGGCAGAAGCTAACAGAAGACGATGCATGTGCGATTTAAACCTGCAGCACAGCGTGGCATTACACTTATCTCTGCGGAGGAGAAAACATAGAGCCTGGAGGAACTAACAGCATAATCATTCCTCTCTTAGAGATCAAATTAAGCCTATTACAATCTCTGAATTAGACCCCTTGCTGAAAAAATGAAGACAATGAAGACATGAAGAAATGTTTATGTCTGATAGTTAATTAACCTGGAACATGGAGTGACTTTAGGTTATTATGTTTTGAATTTCAAGGTCTTGTTGCTCCTGGCTCTAGTCTTCAGGCATGAGAGGTTTGATGAATAGTACTTGAACAAATAAAATTATGTTGTTGAACTATCTGTATAGAAATGAAAGTCATATTAAATGCAGGACTGTGTCTTAATGGTCATTCTATATTTGATTTAATAGCTGGTGGATGTTTCAGAAAGTAAAATGCAACGAGTTTTGTGTTTTTAGTGATGATTCAGGCCAGGGAAGTATTAAAACACACTTTCATTCAGAATATTTGTTAACTACCAGTGGTTGAAAAAGTATTAATGTAATTGGAATAGTTCTACATTTAACAACATTCACAAGCTTTAATTTGTTTTTTTTGAGGATTTCATCTGACAAGCTAATATAAAGTGGACATGGTGATGAAGTGAAAGGAAAATTAAAAACACATCCCAAGCTTTGAACATGCCTTAGAGCCCTGATCAATCATCTGATCATGGAGAGAGGATGGACAAACTGACCTACCAGGACATGTACATCCACCTGGACTCACAGGCTGGAAAAGGACAGGATGTCCAAGATGTCCAGAGCTGAGATGGAAGAATATGTTTACACATCTATTAATTTTGCAATTGACCAATGTGATCCTTATGGCATAGTGACAAGTAGAAAACCTTAAGAAGACCCATATTTAGTTGCCATAGGCAACCTACCAAACATGTGAACAATGGTGATCTGTTCAAATGAGACCAAATTTGAACTTTCTTAAATATTCTCTGCGGGGAAAAAAAAAAGAAAAATCCCCATAACCTTTCCACCAACCTGCTCATAGTTGGAATCAGATCCCACCTAACACAGTGGTGTTCAACCCTTTGCATCAAAATTTCCGTGTTTAATGTTCAGAGGTGTTCATCTGAAATGGTTATCAAACATGTGTGGCTTTGAACGCACCACACAAGTGCTGGTTGTGGCGCTGTTTGTATATAAAGGTCCCTCCCTCACCTGGAAGGGAGGGAACACCTGTTTCCGGTTTAGACCTCTGTTTGCTGTGCAGCACCAGCCGCACACTGATGTGCGCTTGACTGATGCATGCTGATTGCGCTTTCTTCTGGTAAGATGTAGTGATGGTGAGATGAAGCCTCATGAGGCATTGAACCACTTGAGCCAACGGGTTCAAGAAAGGGTTAATTTCTTGGAGCTTCATGTGCACGCAAAACCACCTACTGGCTAGGTGTATAATCACAGCCAGCTGTATCTTAACATGTGTGATGCTTTGAATTTTTGTCTGTTATGGCTCTTTGGAATGACTTCACAAAAGGTGTAGGACGAAATAATTTGTCTACATAAATTATGTATATACATATGTGTATAAGAAAATATTGTTTGAATCTATTCTCTGTGTGTAATTTTTTTCCCAAAATAGTAGTGTCATGTGATATGGCATGTTGTGTAATAATGTATTTCTGTGACTCTAGAAAAATTGCATGGGCTTAATCAGGCAGAGGACAGTGAAAGTGCTTGTGGAACTAGGGAGGGGGTAGTAAATAGGCTAATGCTTGTGTAACTTGGATGATTACATGCATTTTTATTAAGAAACAACACTTTCTCCACAGTTTTTAGTTTCAAACGATTCCTCTTTTTTTGACACTACTTCTCCAGCCTTTGAAAAGAAATGCTGCTCCCAAATATCCTTTCTATCACTCTCTCTCCTAAACTCTCCAAACACCAAACTAACTGTCTCAAACTAAATAACCACTATACAAACTATCAAAACTCTATCCACTCTCTCAACTGACCGCAACTTGCCTACAACAACCCACATTTTGAATATGGAGCCTGTGGGGTTTATAAAGCTGTCAAACCCCACGCTAAAATCTGAACCACTTCCTGAAGCAGTCACGTGATACAGCCGGGCACGAGGCTTCGGACGTCATCGTTTTCGGCTCCTCCCCTAAACGAAGCAAGCTTCGATACGCGCTTTACGGAAACGCCCCCTCCATTACTCGACACACGCTTCGAAGCTTCGGCACATCACGTAACATCACTAATAAGATGCTTCTCGCATACTTGCTATTTGTTAGCCTAGCCTTAGCTCAGCTTTAACTGTACACCTAGGCGGCCTGTGCAAACTGCCTGATCCTCCTCCCAGCCAGAGGCACTACACATAGAGCTCGTGGTAAGTGAAAAGCTCATTATCTGCATGCTTTTAGACTCGATGTTTGACATTTATGTTTGCTAGACGCTGCTGTTTGTCCTTGGCCTGTTGCCCTGTGGTTCCTGGCTGGTGGTCCGCTGTTACTGTGGTTATCCGTTGTCAGCAGCCCACCTGTCACCCTGGTTGCTGGCTTTCTGCCTGCCGTCGTGGTCAGCGTGAACCTGCCCCTTGTCCAGTGTGGCTGGTTCGGACTGGTGACCAGCTTGGACGGATTCTGCTGGTGCCACTCTGGGTGGCGTCTGCTGGCCTGGATCCTTAATTGAACGATCGCTGCTTGATTGGTTGTGGACTGAACGATAAATATGAAATGACTTATGTAATTTGAATATCTGTTTTACCTTGACAGGAAAGGCCAATTCGTGGTGTTGGTGATGGACTTTCCGGGTGGTGGTACTTTTTTGATTTGTTGCACAATTTTCTTTTGTTTTGCTGTTTTGTTTGCTGTGTTTCTTTTTATTTAGGTCACTACCCTGAACTGCACTGCCATCCTGTACTTGAGCCATCACTGTTATTTAAATGTGTGAATGGTTTTAACATAGTATATTTTATTGATTAGAATGAAATGGTGTAATAAAATTATTGAATTTGGTGAGATTGTCTCAAGCCTCATCTGTAGTGGGCCTGTGTGCCTTAAAGGTAACTTTTTGGGAAGAATTATTACAACATCTCAAATACAGTTCTTTTGAAACACTGGTACCGTCACACACGGATCATAGAATTCGGTTCAACAGCAACCTCTGATTTCATTGCTTACAAGGTTTTGCCTAAAAATCCAACTCCTTATAACAGAAATTCTACTATGACTTGAACAAATAAATGAATCAGCCATTACAACAATACAGCAATAGAGCCAGCAAGAATATAAATGTAAAATAAGTCAATTAAAACTCCTCAAGAAACACCAATATTAGACAGACACTCTGGTCATAGCTCAACTTTAATGTGGAATATATTCTTATTGAATGAGCTTACATGACATTACATTATAATAGTGAATAAACTTCATCAGATCTGAGTAGCTATCTGTTCAAAAAGAAATAAGCGGTGGATACAGTCTGACTCTGCTTGGTCATTCCAGACATTCTCTATAAAACACTGCATTTAGGAACTGGAGAACTGCCACACTGATCAAAACCTCTTCACAGTTAAGACAGAAACGACAGATCAAACAGACAATATACATGCTCTTCAAAAACTGGTTTTACAAATCGGGATATAGCGAGACGAGTCTAATCGGTCTAACATTACTTAATTCCAACCAAGTGGATGGAGTGAAAGAGGACATGAAGATAGTTGGTGTGAGAAAAGATGTGAAAGATAGGATTGCATTTAGGCAAATAATTTGCTGTGGCACCCATAAAGGGAAAAAGCCAAAAGGAAAAGATTGTCAAATGGATACAACACAACAAAATTAAGACTTTATTAACAAAACAGAACAAAAAAAAAATATATATATATGTGTGTGTGTGTGTGTGTCCAATTCTCATCATGACATACTAATGTCAAACCTTTCTTTGTTGGCTTCATTTGAGTTTCATGAATATCAACACAGTGGGAACTGTTGAGGTCAGATGTAAATAAAGGTTAATGCCTGATGACGACAAGTTCTTCTGAGACTGGGCCGATCCCCTCCCTGTCCTTCACCCGGTGCCCCGCCTCTGAAACTTTTTTAAAACCATAAAACTTTTAAAACCATAAAAGTATCCAATATTCTAGTTTATTTTTACTAGTTTATTTATACTATTTTCACTAAAACCCCTCTTGTGATACGTCTTTTTATAAATCAAAGAGAACAGGAGTAAAATTTCCTAATGAAAAGACGGAAAAAGCACAAGTCATGACCATATGAGTTTTGAGTTATGCTATAAAAGGCCTCCGTTCTCAAGCTTGCAGACATGCACATTTAAGCAGCGTTGGAGATGATGGAGTAGAGATGTTTGTTTTCTACTGGAAACCAGCAGAGCGGCTCAGACATCCGACTGGGACACCCTGATTACAGCAGCTACCTGTAAAACACAACCAGAGCAGATAGAAGGCATCAATCATCCAGAAACATCACAACAGCTCTGCCAGCAGCTCCACCACCAGCAGCTCCACCACCAGCAGCTCTACCACCAGCAGCTCTACCCTCCTTAGTCTTACTAAAGACTACACAAGGTTCAGGACTTGCACTAGAGCCAAAGACCTATAATTTCTTTTGTGAAAAATTAATTGGTACAAATTCTAAAAGTGTCACAGGTTATGGGAAGTAATTTATGATTAGTGGTCAATGGCAGAGTTTTAATTAAGTCTGGGCCAGAGTTCAGAGTGCTTGAGATGGAAGTGGTTCATTAATCACAACCAGCAAACCAGCTCAGGACATGAAAGGCCTTTATGCATCACTTTTATATGAATTACATTTAATAACTGTCCTGCTAAAAACATGACTGAGTAAAGCCATCAAGCACAATTTTAAGGATTAAGTTGCTATTTGATTAAATGTATATGGATCCAAAAAATAAGATGTTTATAAAATGCATCTAGTTTTTATGTTATTTTCAGCAGTAAGTATATTTAAAAACAGCATTTTAATGGAAAACTAAAATGTTCACAATAAAGTATAGATAAATTACATGACAAAATGCTACTGCAAAAGTAATTTTACAAACATCCTCAGGTAATGTTCAGTGAAAAATGTAAAATGTAAATGGTCTGACATGTGTCCAGGCAGATAACAGCTGACTAGAGAGAACAAACAGGTAAATGGGGAACTAATGGAGTGTTATCTATGAATTCAGATGTTGATGTTCAAAATTCCATGTTAGAGAAACAACAAGACTGTCCTCTGAAGTAAAACTTCTGAGATTTTTACTCAATATGAATGCAGGAAAACTTACAGCTTTAACCCATTTCTTAGCACATTTTACTATTTGCATTTCATTAAACCAGAAATGCAGATAATGATGCAAAAAGTTTTTGAGTCATGAGATTGACATAAATACATCACTGTACTTGGTGTTGTGATGCTAATTCTAGTTAGCACCTAGTTAGCACACTCTTAGAATGTTTTTTCCATGTCCAACTTTTGAGAAAATGAAATTGAATACCTCCTAAAATCAACTAGAAGAAAATGTGAGGTTTTGCACATATTGCAATATCAAAATCCCACAACGCTGCTGCATGCTATTGACCTGTTATAGTTATGATCATTTCTACCTCTGTCTAATTGGTCACAAATAACTCACCAACATCTAAGACCAAATATTTTTGTTTGCTTTTTGAATGCATGCACTCAGAGAACTGCGTTGTTAGTAGCTTATCCTGCTAACATTTCAGGTCTCTGAGGTCAGCTGAGGTCACTCCCACTGACCTTCGGATGTTCCACTGGGAACAGCTGTTGGAAACATCACTTCCAGGTCCAAGTTCTGATGGTCAAAGTGGATGAAGTGCAGCAAAGGTCCAACTTCCATCTAGTTTCTAGGACAGGATGCATATGCCACTAGCTGATGCTTCTCTACACGAGACTGGCATTCTAATGAACAATCAGTATGATTCACTAAGCAACAGATATGATTTCCATGTTGTGACTTTTTAAGTCTTATCTGAACATGACTTATTTTTAATCCTACGTGGAGCCCTAAATTAGATCTTGTTTTAGCTTACAGTTCCTCAGAGCAGTTTAACCCTTAGAACAGACGGGTCTGTTCACGGCCCATGGGTCTCTTCACCCCACTGACAACCTTTGAGTGGCGTTTGTAGTAAAAGTGAAAACTGTTTAAGAAAGCCAGTGAAACAACTTTTATTTTGAAGGCCACCATCTTGACGTTACATGTTCTCATCAGCCAGTTATACCTTGTCTGGACCCAATTTTCACATTTCAATATAGTCAGTTCATTTTAGTCACCTGACTCTCTTTATCCAAACAATACATTACTCGAAGTTACAGGGGGCCTCATAAGTGACACTTTTTAATTATAATAAGACATGAAATATTTGAGACATTAAATTTATTTTCTCTCTGTATGCCTACATTGATGACAATATAGCTTAGAGTCTATAATAGATTGTTAGCTAAACAGTTTTTCACCTCTGATGTCCTGTGTTCACAGCCAAAGACACACCACTTGGTTCTGTGATTTCTTTTCATTTAATGGATGTTGATCTGCTTTCTTAACTGTACACACTGCGGTACATGGGAATTAGACAGAATTAAGTAAGGAGGAATAAAAGAGAAATCAAAGCTCAGACTACATTTTTATGTTGGGGACATCAAAAAACAACCAAAGCTATCATTACATTTTAGTTACAAAGCCTATTAAACACACACACATTTGCCTCAATGGTCTCACAGCAGCATTACATCAAATAACCTAAATAATATTGAAGTTTTGGCTGAAATTCTTCCTCTGTGGTTTAGGAAAGTGCAGAAATGAAAAACTTCCATCTGACTAAGATGGGATTACAACCTGTGATGGAGGAAAAGTAAGCACAAAGAGGTGAGAATAGGGCAAGAGGGAGAAAACACAGAGCACCGGAGGGAGAGGAAGAGTGATGACAGGATTATGAAGTTTGACAGGAGAATGAACATGACTGCACTGCAGAGCCTGTCCATGCAAAGACCCCAGGCGACCGTCAGATCTGTGATTTTGTGCCCATCTGCACAATGTCACAATGCTGACCAGCTGCAGGCATGCCAGTTTAGGATAGCAGAAGTTACATTAAACACGCCAACCACAGGAAGATCTATGGATGTAGGCATGGGGAGGAAACGTGTCACAATGTCATTATAGATCTTATATATGATACTCAGATGCAGACATAATGGAGCCGGCTTGCTGCTGGAGAAAAGCCATCTCTGCCTGAGACATGCGCTGAGAATAGATGAACATTTTCAACTTCATCAAGTTTGGTTTGACCGGTAGCTGTATTTTAATATTATTTTTTTCAGAGTGGAATGATTATACAAATGTAATACATTACAAAATTAATGGATTCTAATTTTTTTTTAATTAATAAAATTTTGTTGTAGCCTATACATTTGAACTAATTGAGAATTTTTGCTAATCAGCACTTTCAACTAAATCATTTCGAAATTGTGTTGAATTCTCCAGATTGGGCTTAAACTTGACAAAAGAAAGTTGCATTAAAGTTTCATATGTTTAAGCATTCCTGCTAGAAAGGATTTAATTCACAGCACTTAAATTCCCATCAATGGACAAATCCCATAAGGTCAATGAATACTTAAGAAAAAAAAAAAGAGGATTTGCACAAATTGAGCAAATCTTTTAGAACATAAAAACAGCGTAATCAGATGTATCACCACTGCACCAAGACATGAAAGCAATTATGTTCGAGGATCAAGTCAGCCATAATACAGGTACCAAATCATTTCTACTAACAGATTTAACAGAGAAGACATCATCTCTAGGACAAAATACTAAAATACCAAACTAAAATGGAGCAACACATCGAAGCCTTACACTAGAGTCAGATTCCCTTCATGTAAACAGTCTATGAATCTATGGAGATTGTTGATTGAACTGGATGGAGTCCTCTCTGGAATGATCACTCTGTGTCTGACATTTATTTATGAACCACACATTTAGCAAT